TGTTTAAGAACTGCTGATATTGAATAACTACTTCCTTGATTCCAAATGCTCAACATTCAAAGGTAATTTTATAGTGATAAAATTTAATAATGGACTATAAACAATTTTGGATTTACAGCAGAATGTTATTTACCGCATTAAAGGGATGTGCCATAAATTCTCAGTACTGTCTTTATCATTTTGTCCAGTCAATGACATTCTGTGGAATAGCTTCTTTTTCTCCCACTTGTAAGTAAAATGATACACAATTTAGTGAAATAAAGTTCACACCCCACTGTAACACACTGTTGTGGATCTTGGTTTCCTAATAGTAAAAGAAAAGCTTGAAAGTGCAGCTTTAAAAAAAGTTAAAGGGAAGACAAACTTAGATTTCTAGGGGGAGAATAGATTGAGAGATAAGCAGTGCTGCAATTCTGGACTTGTAGGAAAATAATGGCATTTCATTTAGTGAAATGAATAAAGAGACTGTGATGAGTTTCTGAAGATAAGGTCAGGAAACAGCAGGAGCCGGCAGAGCAATGTACTTTACAGTTAAAAGGAGCAAGAGTGAGAGATTCAGTCGATGTCACGGAGAAAGGTTGGATCTAAGCAGAGTGAAGGACAGTGTTTGGCCTGAAACAGGAAGCAATGCATCTTGTAAATGTAGAATTCGAGAGAATGATGAACACAGAAGATCTTTCTGGTGCATCGCACAACTATTCATCTAGCTACACTACTGCTCTTTCCCTTTTGCTCTGCATATTTGACCCATCGGGTACTTTCTTGAAAGTTACTATTGAATGTGCTTCTGCCACTCTTCCAGGAAGTGCATTCTAAGTCCAAATAATTCGCTTTGTTTATAAATGAAGTTTCCTCATCTTTATTCTGCCTGTATCCATAAACCTGTACCATCTGATCACTGACCCTGCTGTCATTGAAACCAGTATTTCCTTATTTACTATATTATAATTTTGAACACCTGTATATCCTCTTCACTATCTCTGCTATAAGGTAAATAACCTCCTCTTCTCTTCTAGTTTCTTTATTTAATTAAATTCAGTCATCGTCTTGTTTCTGCATTCTTGCTAAGGCCTTGACATCCTTCCAGACATTTGGTGTTCAGAATTAAGCACAGTATTCCAGCTGATACCTGATTCGTGTTTTATAATATTTAACATAATTGCCTTGCTGTAGGACTTCATGTGTCTATTAATAAAGCAAAGCTGTCTTTGTAAGATATGAAAAGTATGCTTTTTCAACACTCTTCTTAAGTTATTCTGCCATCTTCAAAGGTTTATGTGCATTAGCCCCTCAGACTCTTTGTCCCTGCAAGCACTTCAGTAACTAACTAATGTAATTTTGATGTTTCTTAACATTCTTCCTATCACTTCACACTGCTCTACATTAAATTTCATCAGCTATGTTTATCTCTGTCACTGTCTTGTTATCCTGAAATGTACTACTCTCTTCCACATTGTTTACTAAATGTATGTATTGAAACTTTGTAATGAGGGCCTATTTACCCAAGTCTGGGCCATTAACGCTATTTCTATACAAGCAGTTCTGAGTTTGAAGAGATGTGAAAGTTCAAAATGATTGCTAATCTAAGTAGATACAAGATCCAAGGCTAAAGCCACTAATATAAGAGGTGGTAGGTACCAGTTAGATTTAAGAGGTGGAACAAAAAGATATTTGGCCTATATTACTATGGTGTTGGAACTTGGACTTTATTGCAAGGCAGTTGGAGTTTAAAACAGGGAAGTTGTGTTACAACTGTATAGGATGATGGTGAGGCTGCACCTGGAGTACCGTGTACAATTTTCGTTCCCTTATTTAAGAAATGATGTATTGGCATGGAGGCAGTTCAATAGAGATTCACTACACTGGTTTTTGGAATGAAGGGGTTGATTCATCAATAACAACTATTTTATTCATTTGAGTTTAGGAGAATGAGAGTTGATCTTATCGAAACATAGATTCTGAGGGAGCACGCCAGGGTAAATGTTGATTTCCACAAGTGGGGAATCCCAGACTAGGGGACATAGCTTTAAATGAATGCCCCCTTATTCTGTAACTGTGAAGCAAAGGAATTTCTTTACCCAGAGGGTGGATGTCTGCCCTTTATTGCTACTTGTGGAGTTGGATCACTGAAAGTATTTAAAGAGGAGGTAGGTGGACTTTTTAAATATCAGGAAGTTGAGGGCTATGAGGAGCTGGCACTAAAGAGTTGAGGCCTGAGGTAGGTCAGCTGTGATCATGATGAAGGGTGGGCAGGCTTGAGGAGCCAAATGGCCTACTTCTGCTCCTATTTTTTATGTTCTTTATTGAGCTGTTGAATCATTATGTTGGGAGAGCTAGAAGTCTGAGGGGTGCATGCAGAAAAGTTGAGTGGAAAATGCCATTCTTTTGCTGATGATTTCAATACTGAAGTGAAGGAGAAAAGAGGTTGAAGTTTAGATACCAATCCTGTGTAACTTCTGGCTTGGTGGAAAAATAGCTTGAGTATGATACAACTGAAACATTTTGACAAAATGTCGGGTGACCAAGAACTTAGTTTTAGTGAAAGACTTTGGATCTGTAGTTGTGCTTCTTCTGTCATGCTATTTCAAAAACTAGTTTCTTTTGCTATCTTGGACATGGGTTTCTCTGCCAATTGCAGATGTCAGACTGCAATGTTTTCTGTACGATTGCAAGAAAAATGCATAGTGTAGAATGAAATTCTAACTCTATATTAATTATATTTGTCTTTTCGCTGGACATGAATTTTTAAGATTGTTAAAAATGTCTTTTTTCTCAAATGTAATAGGCATGCATATTTTGACTTGACCCTTATTTATTGACTAAGTCGCCAAAAGTGCTTTCTACAACCTGTATTTTTCAATGTGTAAAACATGTGACTGCCATTTGTATGTTTCGACATTGTTAAATAGCATAATAGTGAGTAGGTGTGTTGTCATAGTAAGGAGCTGTTCCTTTGTAATTAAAACAATTCTTCCTATTGGAAGAAATCTTCTCTATTTTCCCTTTCTTGTCAGCCTTCCCAGGGAAGCCAGAAGCAGATTTTTATTTTCAATATCCAATTCCTCTTCAACTGCATTATTCAGTTTACTGTGCAGGTCCAATTGTGAGATTTTTAAAATGAAGTGTATTTTAAATGCTAAATTCTAACTGGTACTTAAGCTACTAATTGCTGGATTGTAGTAGAGTAAAATCACCTGAACTTCCTAGACTAAGCTGAAAGGGTCCACATGAACCCTTGGAATCATATTGTATGGAGTATGCCCTTTGGCCCATTGAGTCTATTCCCCAACAGATGTCAGATTCCTAACTTCTCAATGTACACAAATGCATGTGTGCGATAATGTCAAAAAGCCTTTGTAAAATTGAGGATGTGAATGTTGTTTAAATCAGAGCTGTAAGTTAGTAATTCCGTTAGTACTGTCTCTTTTTTTTACAAAAAAAAGGCAACATAAAATTATTAAATGCAGGAAGATATTTATTCAGAGTTTCTCTGTAACCAGAAATGTTTTGTGGTTACACCAGTGAAGTTTGTGAGAGTTGACATTAACTTTAATGCAGACTCTTCTAAATGAAAGCATGTGCATTCTTTAGCCAGTTTGCACCGAAAAAGTGGAACCTAAGTAGCATTAAGGGCTCTGCACAACAGAAAGATGCCGCCTGGCTGAATGAAACTGCAAATGTGAGAGGACTCTTCCTCTTTCCTTTCCCCAACCACTCCCCCCAAAAAAGAACCCAGGTTTTACTGCCACCTCTCTCTGTATTGTGATCTGCTTATGAACTCAAAAATACCTTTCATGGAGCCATGTCAACATATAAGCAGGTGTGACCATTGAGAGCAAAGCAGTCTGATAAAAACAGCCGTTCTCGAGAGGGGATTGTGACTAAAAAAGAACTAAAGGGACCAAAGGTAAATTAACAGAACATAATCATGCTGAAGATGTAAATGAGTGCTAAAGAATTCCACACCTACACTGCAATGGAGCTGTCAGCTCCACTTCGCACAAAATTGCCTGCTTATTATATGTATCCAGTCCAACATTTCGCTCTCAACCAACATCACTAAAACAGATTGTCTGCTCTTTTATTAATATTTCTGTTTATATGTGCTATGTGCAAAATGGCTGTTGCTTCCCTATACTACTGCAGTGATTATACTTCAAAATTACTTAATTGGCTGTGAAATGCATTAGAATTTCTTACATCTTAAAAGGTATTATGTAAATGCCAGTCTTATTGCAACCAAATAAGGAATTGTATGCTCTTTAAGTAAACAAATCTCACATGGCAGTAATGTGCCTTTCTAGCACCAGAAAATAGAATTAAATCCCTCAGGCTCATTCAGTTCAGACCTTACTGGAAGTGTTTGAGACTGCAGTCCGCACATCAACCTCGGGACAGCCCTTTGCTGAAGTGGTTACAAGTGGCACAGAGATGAAACTCTTCAGAAATAGTGCTGGCATCTAAGGACCAAATTTGGTGAGAGAGTACTATCAATGTGTTAGTAACTATGAATTAGGAGCAGGAATAGGCCACTCAGCCTCTCAAGCCTGCTCTGCTATTCAGTAATATGATGGCTGATCTGATTTCTCCACATTCTAACCTTCCCTTGGTAACCTTTCGTTACCTTGTTTCACAGAAATCTATCTACTTCTGCTTTAAAAATTTTCAAAGACTCTCTGCTTCTACCACCATTTATGAGGAAGAGTTCCAAAGATTCATGACCCTTCTGAGGAAAAAGTTCTGTTCATCTCTGTGATCATTTTTATTTAAATAGTGATCCCTGGTCCTTGATTCTTTTGTGAGAGGAAATATCCTTGCTAATCAACCCTTTCAAGACTCCTTATAATTTTAAATAAAAACAGAAAATGCAGGAGAAACTCAGCAGGTTTGGCAGCATCTGTAGAGAGAGAAAAACAGCTAGCATTTAGAGTTCAATGTTTTCAGAACCTCGGGATCTGGTACGTTTCTATCAACTTAACTTTTACTGTTCTTATCTCCAGCAGATACAAACCGTGCCTGTCTGACTTTTCCTCTGAAGACAACCAACCCATTCCAGGTGTTAATCCAGAAAACCTTCTCTGAACTGCTTCCAACACATTTACATGCTTCCTTAAATAAGGATATCAAAACCGTACATGCTACACCAGATGTGGTCACACCAGTGTCCTGCATAACTGAAGTATAACCTCCCTACCATTTACATTCAATTCTGCTCGCAATAAAAAAAAAGTCTATTAGCTTTCCTAATTGCTTGCGGGACCTGAATACTAATTTTTGCAGCAGGATATCGGATCCCTCTGGATCTCAAATCTCTGCAATCTCTCAGCGTTTAAATAAAATGCTTCCTTTTTATTCTTCTTGCCAACCTGGACAATTTCACGTTTTCCTATGTTAAGCACTATTTGTCAGACCTTTGCCCACTCACTTAACCTATCTATTTTCTTTGTAACCACTTTGTCCTCTTTGCAGCTTACCTTCCTAACTCACTTTTTGTCATCGGCAAATTCAACAACCATAACTTTGGTCCCTTTGTGCAAGCCCTTCATTCTATAAAATATTGAGACCCCAGCATTGATCTTTGTGGCATACCGCTCTTCATGTTTTCCTCATCAGGAAAAAAAAGAAGCACACTCTGTTTCCTGTTAGCTAGCCATGACACAATGTTACACCATGAGAGTAATACCTTTCGAAGTGGTATCTCATTAAATACTTTCTAGAATCTAAGTACAGAGCTTTCACTTGTCCCCCTTTATCTCCAACACATGATATTCTTACCGAGAACTTCAGTAAATTGGTTAATCATGATTTCCTTTTCACAAGACTGTGTTGAATGCCTGATTAACTTGAATTTTTCTAAAAGTGCGCTGAAGTTTAGCAATAACCGTCTGGAGAGTTTAAAGACGTGGTAAGGCTTAGTGTCCCGTGCTGATAGAACCAATACGCCCCTAAAGAATCATATAGAGTTGAACAACTGTCTCAGTATCTTTGAGATCCCAATGGACAAGGACAGCATTCATGAGGTGAAGAGAGCAGCCCGATAATGTAACTGCCACCAGGCCATTCAAGGACAAAGTTGCCATGTCTGTCCCTCTCCAACTAAAGATGTTTTGACAACTATGAGGTAGTTTAAGCAGATTCAGGTCGATGGAGGGTTCTGTTCATAATCCATTAACAAATGTTGAAAATCTTAATTCAGCATGCTTCATAAAACTGCAGGCAACTGATGTATATTAGTATATTGAGACTGTGTTGTATGCATATAAACGTATTAAGACTCTTTGCTCTTACTTATTTTCTAGTTTCCTAATTAACCATGCCAAGATGTGTTTTTTTAAAGAAACTTCAACCTTTACCACCACTTGGACTGTTGGACAGTTTTTGATTTGAAGCTTTCTGTTTCAGCTGTAATGTTTGTTGTTCACTTGTATAAAGTTACACCGTGCCAAGGTTGTTGCAAGAAGCAATGCAAAGAGTGTACATTAGAGCTGCAGTGATTACCCGATACAAGCAAACCTAAATGATGGCATGTTCAACTTGCGTGGGCTTATACAGGACATAATTGTATATGATTCAGTGGCTGCATAATGCAGGTTGAGATGCACGTGTAATCTTTAGTCGAGTCACTGGGTCTGTAAACCATGTAAAAAAAAACTTAGTGTGTGATACTTTATTATTTAAGAGTTTTAAATTTATTAGAATCATTGAATCCCTACAGTGTGGAAACAGGCCCTTCGGCCCAACAAGTCCACACCGAACCTCGGAGCATCCCGCCCAGACCCATCCCCCTATAACCATAATCTACACCTCCCTGAACACTACGGCCAATTTAGCATGGCCAATCCACCTAACCTGCACACCTTTGGACTGTGGGAGGAAACTGGAGCATCCAGAGGAAACCCACGCAGACACTGGGAGAATGTGCAAACTCCACACAGACAGTCGCCCGAGGCTGGAATTGAACCCGGGTCCCTGGCGTTGTGAGGCAGCAGTGCTAACCACTGTGCCACTGTGCTGCCCACCATTAATTGGAGAACCCAAATTCAAGATTATTAAAAATTTGAGGTGTGAGAGGATGAGAAGAAATATTTTTGCTCAACACTCTCAAGATCTGGAATGCACTGTTGGAAGGGTGATAGAAGTAGGTTTAAAAGTTTCAGAAGGGAAATAGATATATACTTAAAAATTGAAAAAGATGCTAGGAAGTGGCTGGGCAGAGGTCGGAGCATGTGAATGGTACTAAAAGTTTTTTCCTTTGAGCCAATGTTAGAGAAAAGGCCTTGTTCTGTGCTGAATGACTTTATATGAATATTCAATGAAACTTTAATTAATGTATCTATCAAAATCTGTTGTCACAATCCCAATATTGATAGGGGCACAGACTCTTCATATTCTTTTTTATTTTGTAGAGTTGAAATAACCTTTGTAGCTGAAGAAGAGAGCTAAAATTCTAGTCAGGTTTTTGGCTAGAACATGAAAAGCAAACTGTTAATCAAACCAGATGGTAAAATTGCAATGCTGTTTGGAAAGTTCCTTTAAGATTATGCAATTCTTTATTGCTGTATTATAGTGTTGCATTGAGATATTTAGCAATGACAGCAAAAAGTACTAATCCATTATTTGCTCTGTTTTTTTTCTTATGATCTTATGGCATCATATGCTATATTGCTGAAAAGACGCGTGTTGCCAAAAGTACTACTTGTGCTGTTCCATTCATCAGAACAAAAGAAAAGTATCAAATTTCAAGCTGTTGCAGCAATTTAAATTTATTGGGGGAAAAAGCTGTTTATTGGTTGGCATGTTGACTCTGATTAGTTGAAACATTGCCAAAGAGAAAGCAAATGAAACTAGAGATATCCCAAGCACGTGGATCATTCAAAAAGACGAGACTTGAACGTATTCCTTTTGTTGGCAGAGAATGCCTGCCAGCATATGAATATGTTAATTCTGACAAAAATAAATGAGCCATGTTTGAGTTTGAATGATTTAACTTGTATTGATTGTTAGTGTAGCTTATAAGTTTGGATTGTTCAGCAAGTGCTGCCCAATTGCAAACTTAGAACTAATGTTTTGTCTTGGAATTTGAGAGTGTTGGATGGTGGAGGATGGTATACTTTCTGCCCATTACAAATGACCAAACGAATATTGTTTGACTCAATCAGCAAATCATCGAGACATACAGTCTACATACTTCGTTTCGCACTGGCCTTGAAATTCATACATGACATTGCTCGATTGAGTGGTAAGTATGTCTTTTTGGACTGGTGACAGCACTTTTTTTTAAAAGGACTGCAGTCCACGTGGCCCGTATCTACATTAGTGCTGCTAGGAGAGAAGTAAAGGTTCCAGGTTTGGACCTGGCAGCAATGGAGGAACAGTGATTACAGGAGATTATGATGTACATCTGCAAGGTTCTCTCATCTATTTAATATAGATCCACCCAACTTTGGGAATTGTTCCAACAAGGATTAAATCTGGAACACCTACTGGCATGCTGCGATATATCAATCTGTACAGTAATTCGGTCTATCCTCATCTTCCTGCTGCATCATTATTGTTGCAACCTGCCCCATTTCCCCTTTTAGATCAGATATGGTCAAATATATATCTTAACTCCATCCAACCTGCCTTTTAAAAGATTTGCATTTCAGAATTTCTTTAATTTCAGATTTGAAATTTTCAATTGACCTAATCTTTCAATTTGTTTGTTCCAGATTTCTACTATCATTTATGTGACTAGAGTGCTTCCAAATGTCACCATTTAAAAATGCAAACTTACGTAATTTAAAATTACAGTCTTTTGTTTTGAACTCTACCACTGGAGGAAATTGTTTTTTTCCATCTTCTAAAATCCTTTGATTGTAATGAATGGCTCAGTCAGATCATCCCTTAATCTTCTGTACTTACAGGGATCCATTAGATACCAAGAGTGCTGAAGCCGAGTCCCAGGGGATGTTGTCTTCGAGTTAATCTTTGAAGAACTACAGTGGCTTTCTTCTTTAACCAGTTTCAAAGTAAAGTATGTGAAATCAAGTTAGTCAAACCTGCATAAACGTCATAGCAATTCTTAACATTGTTCTTAAACTACTTAATACTTGCGATAAATGTAGTACTTGTTGGAAATTGAAAGTACAAATGCCAGTAACCATTAGAATGTCATTGTGTGCATGTTTTGAACCTTGCCATGTAGCTTTATATTTTATAATTCTAATGCATTTCTTATCTGAATCAGGTGTGAAATGCCATATTTGATATGATATTTAACTTAATTCGAGAAATGGGCTGCTCACTTGAGAACTTGTTGATAATGTTTTTTAGTGCACTGTTAAAATGCTTCATTTTCTAATCTGTGTAAAGTGTTCTTGCAGAGCTGACAACTTCTAATGTCTTGAACAGTAAGAATCATCCAAAATTAGCTGCCCACTAGGGAGCCTTTTTTAATGCTCCGAAAAGATGTACAATGATTGGATGATAATACAATGGATAACATTCACTATTAACCACCTGCTCACCTCAGTACATGATTGAATCCCCAACACAACATTAACCTCCTGTTCAGAATACAACAACTTAGCTGGGATAACCACCTGAAAATTCTGAGGTTTCTCATTGACTTGTAGCTTGTGTATGTTCTCGGTCCATAGCCAATCCGAGATAAAAATTTTGTGTGTGCGCACGCACAAGTTGCAAATCGTAACATTTTACCAGCTGAATGCAACCTTCTTATCGCATGATCTTTGTGTTGTTTTATATACTGCAATTAAAGATACAACAAAGATTAGTACTGTATGTTAAATGATCAATTTTTGATTCAGTAGTCATCCTTCCTTTGAAGGATCGCCATTACTTTCAATACAATTTTAGTCTCCAAGCATACATTTTTAAAGGGAAAATTGAATTGAGTGTTCAGATGATGCTAAGGTTATGATTATGGATACTTTATTATGTATTACTTACTGCAAGAGTCAGTTTTAGTAATTTGCATCTTATTTGAACCCTCCATGTTTAATCCGGTTTTAGTTCCCTTTTAGCTGGAGAGGAGTGTTGTTTTAATTTTGTCCTGTATCGTGGTTTGAGCCATCTAGCGGCCATGAAAGGCGCTACAATAGGAGCAAGTTATTTCATTATTTTCCTATGCAGTACATATGCAGGGTTAATTCACTGATTGCTTTCCTCTTTTATGAACTGCCTGCAGTTTGCTAAGGACATGAATCAGAAATACAGAAAATCACTATCAAACTCTATAATTATATTGTTGGAAAAAGTTTCAAAGTGACTGAGGAAAATTTTAACAGAGATAGTAGGAACTGCTGATGCTGGAGAATCTGAGATAACAAGGTGTAGAGCTGGATGAACACAGCAGGCCGAGCAGGAAAGGTGACGTTTCGCGTCGAGACCCTTCTTCAGAAAAAAAAAATTTTAAATTTTAATCCTTTATTCTGTTGCAGTATCAAGATGATCTGACCTGTGCCTCCATCCATCAAGTTGGGAAATGAAATTCTATTCTGTGCTGAATGCTGCAACCTGCAGAGTACTTCAGAACTCTTTCAAACAATACTGGCATGCAGTGCAAAATGAGCGGGTCTTCGAACATCACAGCTTTTCTACCTTCCTATCTCTTAATTGCCAGAGAAAGGATGTCAGCAAATATGAACAAGTAGATTGTAAGAAATATGCCTCCTTGGTCCGTTCTGTTGTCTCAACAAATGTCAGCCCCCAGACCCCCGAGACCCTGCTCGGTGAGGATAGCTGCTTGTACGGACCAGTCATCAGATCAAAACCGGCCAGTGCAGATACAGAATCTGAAAGCCCGCAAAATCTGGCTCCGTTCCTGAACTTTGAACGCCAGAATACTAAGTATGAACCAGGGCCTGTGCTCAAACTACCACTGCAGTTAAAGTCACAGGGGGATCACTCGAAGGCCAGCTTGCCCAGTGTGACACGCATCTTGCAATTGACCAAGAGTTTGGAGCAAGCGTTTTACTTGGAGCGATGGAAACGGAGAATGATAACTGAGCTTGGCCAAGATGGTTTCAAGGAGTATTCTAAAAGTAAGTGCACCTTGTGGTACTGAATATAAAGGCGCTAGGGATTAAGTGATCACTCTGAGTTGGCCTGGTTTCATCCAATTTGCCACTCAAACATTCAGTCCAACAGGTCTGTGCAGGTTTTTGTGCTCAGTATGAACTTCCTTCCATTCTATTCTTCCAGAGCATATCCTTTGACTCCTTTTTCCTTCATAAACTTTACTTAATTTCCCTTTAAGGACACCACTACTATTGCTTTGATTACTTCTTGTGTTAGTGACTTCCACATGCTCACCACACTCTAAGACCATTTCTCCATAACTAGTTTTTACATTTTGATAGTGACTGGCCCCTAGTTTTTGTCTCCCCCACAAATTGAAACTCTTTTCTGCATCTATTCTGTGGTAATGTAATGTGGGTGGCTATTGACTCAGGTGAAAATACTAGTGGTTATGTCCTGAAGCTGTTTTAAACTATAATTTGTTAATAAAACATCGCTATGTTTGTAACACTTTGGAAAATGTTTTGAAGCAAAATATTCTGTAAACCTGCTAGCTTTGTCTCAAGATCCTCATTCTAATTGGTAGTATGTTTAACTCCCCTTCCCAAAATGCTGGTAATCTATCTTTTAAAGTTTAATCTGTACGCCTACGACAAGGCTTCTTTCACCCAGTGCAATTCTTTTATTTAATGCTGCAGTGGCAACATAATCCATTAGAGGTCTCCAGTTTTGGGGCAAGGACAAATGTACATTATTTGTGGTCATGGCAACAGTTCCAACCCTCTACTAGTCGACACCAACATTTGAAATAATTGAAACCTGAAAATGCAGGATAAGGAAAGTCAGCCACAATTGTGCTTCTGAGATTTTCGCCAACCCATTACTTTGCTGAAAAATAGGCAGTTTGTTTAATAGGATTTACATTGTATTGACTGTGTGCTTGGAGACCAATTGTCCACATATCCTTTGTAGAAGTGATTATATTTTCAGATGGTCTTGAAATTACTGTTTTTTTTCACCTTTTTTTCCTTTCACTCGTGTCACCCCATTCGCTGTTCACTCTTATGCATTTATCTATCTTACCCAATGTGTTCCATGTTTTTGTTTGTGCTACTTTGTTAGTCATTTGACTGCTGACAGCAACCTACAGTAACTGCCTAGAGTCCCTTCCTCCATGCAAGAAGTTCCTACAAAATCACTTGTTGCTCTTAAATACAGAAGACTGTACAATCCTAGTGAACAGAGCAGATTTTAAATGCGTTGTCAATTTCTGTTGCCATTCTGCTAGTGACCCTAAACATGATATTTCCCCAGATATTCTCAATCGAGGAAAGCTTTTCCATTCTGCTTTGGAGGAGACCCTTCTCTCAACCAAAATTCCAAAAACTGATGATGAAGAAATTGCAGGGTACTTGCAAAGTGTGCAGGGAATCTTAGCAGACATTAGAGGAATTCGAGTCTTGGAGAGTGTTGTGAGTCATCAGCCATTACAGTACATGGGGCTGGTAGACTGCGTTGCAGAATATCGGTAAGATCCAGCATTCCTATCATCTAATGTTTTACATTGTGGGCTCAAGTATTGCAAGATTAAATAAATAAGGCTAAATGGACATGGCAGAACAGTTGGCATGTCATGACTGTTGCATATGGAAGTTTGTGGACAGCAATGCAATCCCCAGCAGTCACACGTAAGCTAAATATCTGTGGGTTGAGGAATTAATTGTTTAATTGGAGTCCGAGCTGCATTTGGTATAGGGCAACAGTGAGGGTGGTAGACCCTTTGTTCCTGGAGACAATTACGGTCTTTAGATTAAGTAGATTTGAGAGCTATTTAATGGTCAGGGACAGGAGGTTATGACTGGGAGCTAGGCAGCTATAAATACCCAAGATGTGATGAAGTAGCCTCAGCTGCCATGATCTCTCCTACTACTGGACAGGTCCAATCCCAGAATGAAGACAGATTTGGTAGACTTTTTTTAATTTAACATGACAGTCTTTTTCTGAAACATAAGACACAAGGCTGTAGATTGATTAACAATAAAACAAGTTTATTACACCAAGGAAATAAAAAATAAACCAAAGTAAACTACCTAAATATAACATTGTTCAAAAGATTTCATTAACACACGGTAAAGAAAAATCCCATCTCACCAATACCATCACTTTACAGTTAACTAAAATCCAAAGAAAGTTTTGTTCCCAGTCCAATCTGTAGGTGTGACTTAACTGCTTCTTCACAGATCCTGTCCTGTTTTGTGATGTGGATTGTTCTGGAATAATCTTACAACTGAGCGGTTAAACGTTACCAGTCTTTAAGTAACCTGCAGAGTTCTAACCAAACGTTCATGCGTCTGGAGATTTCACAAACTACTCTTTAATGAATTAATTTATTTCCTTGACTGCTGTAAACAGTCTCCTTTTCTAGAAGAGACAATTCATGCATCTGTCCCCAGTCAGGTCTCCTCCTAACTGAATCCAAAAGCTTTTAAACATTTTTTAAACTTGCTGATCTTAGATTATGGTGAAGCCAATGGCTGAATGTTTTCTCTCTCTTGTTGTATAAGCAAACTTCCACTAACATGTTTTAAAATCATGGTTTCCTTTCATCTCTTTTTTACTTTTTTTTTCTTTTTTGTTCCTCTTCTTTCTTTTTCTCTCTTTATTTTCTCTCTTTTTTAAGGTGAATCAATTTGTTAATCCACCCTGCTACGTTGGTGCACATCTGGTTCCAATATAGGCCATGGAACAGGATCTCCTGAGTTACAGTCCCTTGTGTCTGACCATCTTAAATGATTTAGAGATGAAAAGTAATTCCGGGGATCAGGCCACTCTTGCCGAGACTGTCATTCTGCTGGATCCAAAGTAGTGGAGGAGAGAATCAGTAACTCATACTTCAAATTTATTCATGGTGTTGGAACCAAGCAGGACTTGCCTCCGGACCTGGGGAGAGCATGAGGCCAAGGTTCGGACTGTATGCTGTTTGCATCAGTGCGGCGTGCAGTTCTTGCAGGATGGGAGCCTTTCAACCTCATCTGCTGTATTTATGACCCTAATTTGGGTTTGCGACCTAAAGTTTGTTATTGGTGGTCATATGCTAAATTGAAAAAGTTTTGTAAGTTACCCTGCTTCCAAGTAAAACAGCTTGGGGCCTCCCAAATTCATTCTTTGATCCCTTGGGGAATTGAAGAAAATGGGGAGTGGGTGAGAAAGCGGAGTTAAGTCAGAGAATCAACCAGAATTGTGTTGATTGGCAGAGCAGGCTTGAAGGTCTGTATGGTTTACTCCTATTCCTGTTTATCTTACATGAAACAACAGCCATTAAATTTTATGGGAGAGGCTGCAGAGGAAATTTCCTAGAGTAGTACCAGATATGTTATTTGATAGAGCTGAGATTGCCTCTTCAGTATTAGCTTTGAAAAGAAGTGAGTATACTTGATAATGAAATAGTTGCAAGGCTAGGGAATGAGCAAGGGCCGAGACTGAAAAGGAACTGGTGTAGATGGCAGGTTCGAACTTCTTCTGTGGTTTCATTCTGAGCTATCATCTACACTTTACACAATCCGTCCACGTTACCCATGCTGACATCAGCTAAAGGTGCAGAGCTTCACCAACAACTGATCAAGTTGTCAAGAAGCAATCTCAGTAGGGATCAAACCTGCCTGGACTTATCCCTGCTCAATATGAACTTTCTGATTGGAATCATCAGGTAATAGTGGGAAGCAGAAACCTGACTGCTTTTTCCCTTTCTAAATACAGTGAGCTCAGGGAAATTGTTCCTAACAATTATGTCAACCCTGGAACAGCTAGTTAACTGAACCTGGCACCTTGCAATCTATATTAGCTTGACCCAGTTTAAGAAGCTGCTTTTCTTTTCGATTCATTGTCTGACTGGAATGCTCAAGGATTAGTATTGGTGGATGGTAAATTCCTATATGGAAATCAGTGGTTCAGCATATCTGCTTTTGCCTTTCAAGTAATAAACTTCCTCCTCGTAAATAGGATTTCTTTCAGCCAGAGCAATTTTCAGGTAAAAGATCACTATTTAGAAAAGAACTCCAGAATCAGTGTTAATACAAGTTCAACAGATGCTTTTAATTGTTATATCTTGTGCAGGGGCAAGTTATGTGTTATAGACTGGAAAACTTCTGAGAAGCCAAAGCCATATTTTCGAAACACCTTTGATAACCCCCTTCAGGTGGCAGCATATGCAGGTGCCCTGAACCATGATGACAACTATAACTTTCAGGTCAGTAAATTTTATCCTCCCCTTTCATTCGATGTGAGCTGCTAGGATTCTCACATCTGGCTCAAATGATTGTTGGTTCAAGTCCCACTCTTGATATGCTGGCTTGTACTCCAGTACAGGAGACTGCTATGCTGTGGAAGGTGCTGTTTTCAAATGAGACGTTAAATCAAGGTCCATTTTTCCTTCAAGAAAAAATACAAGATCCTACAGCACTCTTGGAAGAAGAGCAGAAAAAAATTACTGACGAATATTTATTTCTCAACCAACACCATTTAAACATATTATCTGCTCATTATCCCCAAAATGATTTTTTTTAACTTACCACCAAGATACCTTCACTGCTTTCCCCATTCAGCACCTGCATTGAATGACTTCAATTTTCAATCCCCATTTCAAATCTCTGATATTCCCCTTTGCACTGACTGCCCATTTATTATTGAGCTCTCCTTCCACAAACAAAACCAAAGTTCTGGAAAATCTCAGCAGGTCTAGCAGCATCTGTGAAGGAGAAAACAGAGTTAATGTTTCGGGTCCAGTGACCCTCAGAACTGATGGTGGCTGGGAAAACGTCAGTTTATATGCAGAAAATAGGGAGGTGGGTGGGGTAGGGAGTAAACGATAGGATAGAGCCCAAAGAAAGAGAAAGACAGTTGGACAGACAAAGGAGTTGCTAATGATCAGGCTGGGAGGGTGAATAGTTGTTAATGGGGACTGTTAGTGACTAACAACAGGGGGTGTGTAATGACAGGTTATGTGGTAACAAGGCCCGGTGTGTGGGGTGGAGGCCTGGGACATGGGAGAGTTTAGGCCCTAAAATTATTGAACTCAATATTGAGTCCAGAGGTCTGTAGGGTCCCCAAGCAGAAAATGAGGTGTTGTTCCTCCAGCTTGCGTTGGAGCAAGCCGGAGACAGAGATGTTGGCCAGGGACCGGGGTGGTGCACTGAAGTGGTAGGCGACAGATAGTTCAGGGTCTTTTTTGCGAGCAGAACGTAGATTCTCCTTCCACGAAGACTGTCTATCCATTATCACATAAAACCTTTTGACTTCACCATCTTGTACGATTTAGCCAATCCCTTTGTTGTTAATTACCAGTGTAAATGTCTTTATCACTTCCTTGTATTGCTCTAGATCCAATTCTCCTTTCATAGCCGAATCCTATAACTTGTATCTGTCTTGGGGGAAATAACTAATCCCAACATACTTACAACTCCACTTTCAAAATCTCAGCTATCAGTGTTTAACTATGCAATCACCACACCATTCCACCAGCTGCTGATTTGCACAACATTCACCACCACATTTTGTCCTAGGCCCCAGTGAAACCATTCTTTTTCTCTTACTCTGGTTAATCCCCCTGATATGGCTTTCAAAGCTCTGCTCCCTTACCTCCAAAGAAATGCAACAACAACTCCTGCTTTCTGTTCTATACTACAAATCACTGTTTCTTCCACCTTTGTATTCAAAAAAATACAAAGAACTCACAGACTGTTTTTGTCACAAAGCTCAAGATTAATCCGACCGGTTTCCTCTGCTGTATCCTTGCCTTCTACTAGCCTGCCTGACCAAACTTTCCTTTAGTGCCCCTCCTTCTTATAGTGTCAAACCTGCATGTTCCTGTTTCCTTCCTGCCTTGACCATGAAACCCAGCTCCTCCTCCTTCAACACTATTTATCCTAAACTGCTGACCACCCATCTTTGCTTCCTGGTCCCCATGTTAGCTAATACTGTCACAATTTCTCTCATCTGATGTTATCTTCCTCTCTGTGGTTGTGCCTTGAGCCACTACAGTCCATGTGGTTCAGTATATTCACATTGCTGTGAATGAGTACAAGGATTTTGGCCCAGTGATAATGAAGGAACAGGGGGAGATTCCAGGTTAGGATACTGTAGAATTTCGAGGGGAACGTGCAGGTGTGGTGCTCATCCACCTCGTGCCCTTGTCCTTCTGAGTGGTAGAGATTGTGGGCTTGGAAGGTGCTGTTGAAGGAGGCTTGATGAACTGCTGCAGTGCATCTTATAGATGGTACATGCTAGTGCCACTGTGGAAGGAGTGAATGGCGTAGATTGATTTCTGATCAGGCAGACTGCTATGTCTTGGTTGGTGTTGAGCTGCTTCATTGTAGTTGGAGCCGCACTCATCCAGGCATACAGAGAGTATGCCACCACATTCCTCACGTGTGCCTTGTGCATGATGGATATGTACTAGAGAGACAGGACATGAGTTATTTGCTGTATAATTCCTAGCCTCTGACCTGCTTTTATAGCTATAGTATTTTTATAGCTGTGCAGTTCAGTTTCTGGTCAATGGTAAGTCCCAGGATGTTGACTGTGGGAGTTTAGTGATGGTATTGTCCTCTGATATTCAATGGCATTCCTTAGATTCTCTCCTTGGTGATGGACATTGTCTGGCACTTGTGCAATGTGAATGCTACTTGCCATTTATCAGCCTATGCCAGAAAGTTGAATCCCTCCAAACAGGTTTCCAGCCTGTCATCAGTGTCAGAATTATTCTTTTTAAATTCATGAATGACATTCTATGTGACTGTGTCAAAAGTAAACTATTTCTCCTTGTCTAAAACAACAGAAATAGCACCGTCAGTGCAGCATTCTCTGAAAATACTGCTCAGTGCAGTGATGTTCTATAATTAATTAACCTGGGAAGTGAGCAACTGTTGGGGAACTCTCATAAAGCAAATTTTGTTTTTTAAAAATGCATTTATTCATGCTTTTACTGCTTGTTGTGTGTCATTTTAGAACAGAATAGATGAAATTTTTTTTTGCATCTATCAGGTTGAGCGGGGACTGATTGTGGTGGCTTACAAAGATGGTTCACCTGCACATGCTCACTTCATGGACCGTGAACTGTTCCTCGCTTGCTGGAAGAAATGGCTGCTTCGGCTGGAGAAATACAAGGAGAAAATTCATGCCTCCCTGTGACTGGCTTGACAATGTCTTGGGGTTGAAAGAGTACTGCAATGAGATACACTGACCTAGGTCCCAAAAATATCCCATGAACAAAGCAATCTTCAGGCATTAGTGTTAAGTTTAATCACCACTTGTATCTTGAAGGGTGAGAGGAAGATAGCTGTTGTTTCAGTGAAATCGTAAACAAGTGTCATTTTATTATGTTATGACATCACACTTTTTGCGACTGAACTGCCATATTTTCTTCAGCAATGATTACATTTCCGAGTACCTAACTGGGACATCCTGAGGTCATGAATGATGCTATTTAAATAGTTTGTTTTATATCTGTTTATGATGTCACAGGCAACAAACTGTGGGAAATCTGGTATTGTTTATATCACCCTTCTTCTTGGTATGGATGACTGCATTTGTGAGGCTTCATGACGTTGATGGAGATGTGCTGATTTGCAAATCTCATCCCTGTCACAATTGTTACACTCAGTGGAACTCCACCAAATAAGCTGTTATCAAAATAACACAGAATTGGAGTGAATACACTGGACTGAGACAGAAATACCTGTAATCTAGCATCTCCCCTGCCATTTGATGAAAAATCAGCCCTGTGTAAATGGGTCATGTGAAGAATCAGCCTTTATAATTGTGCAGCTGTAAGGCAGCACTTTCAACCATCCCAGAAATTTTGTTTTAGCTGGATGGAGTGTACAGTATTTCAACTGCTACGTTTTGTTAAATGAAACATGTATATCTTAAAATGTATTTGTTTACCAATCATTTGGAGTGTCCATATATCCATACTACATAGTAGATCTCTCAATGGAAGCAAGAACTTAATAAATATGAGAATGGTTGAGATCAACTGATGCGTGCTGATTTTCAGGGAGCTTTTCCAGTAACCTGTGACATGGCACCCTCAACTGATCATACGGTAGTACTACATTCATTAGCTCATTATCATAGAAACCAGCACTTGGAATGACAAGATAACACAGTATAACAAGGAATCGACATTCTTTTTAACATGTTCCTATTAGATGTTTGTGCTAACGTTTATCATACTGTTAAGATTTTGCTGTGCAATGTGAGATGAAATTGGAGCAATTTAGAATTGAGTCCACTGAAAGTGGATCTATTTTTATTTAACAAGTTACCATGGTCAACAAAGGCTTTTTTTTTAATTCACTCATGGGATGTTGGCCTCATTGGCTGGCCAGCATTTATTGCCCATCCCTACTTGCCCTTGTGAAGCTGCCTTCTTAAATCACTGCAGTCCATATTCTGTAGGCAGACCCACAGTGCCATTAGGAGAGAATTCTAGGATTTTCACCCAGCAGCAGTGTATAAATGGCAATATATTTCCAAGTCAAGATGGTGAATAGCTTGGAAGGGAACTTGCAGGTGGTGGTCCAATGTATCTACTGCCCTTGTCCTTTTAGATGGAAGTGTTTGTGAGTTTGGAAGGTGCTGTCTATGGATCTTTGGTGAATTTCTGCAACGCATCTTGTAGATAGTATACACTGCTGCTACCAAGTGTCAGTGGTGGGGGGAGTGGATGTTTGTAAATGTGGTGCCGATCAAGGAGGCTGCCATGTCCTGGATGGTGTCAAGCTTCTTGAGTGTTGTTGGCACTGCACTCATCCGGGCATGTTGGGAGTATTCCATTCGCATATCACTTGTGCCTTGTAGATTGTGGCAAAATTTGGGAGTCAGGTGATGAGTGACTTGCCACAATATTCCTAGCCTCTGACTTGCTTTTGTGGCCACTGTATTTATGTGGAGTTCCCAGATAAGTTTATGGTCAATGTAACCCTCAGGATGTTTCAGTGACGGTAGAACCATTGAATGCCAAAGGATGGTGGTTAGATTGTGCCTTATTGGAGATGGTCATTGCCTGGCATTTGTATGGTCCAAATGTTACTTGCCACTTGTCATACCAAGCCTGGATATTGTAAATCTTATTGCATTTGAACATGGACTGTTTCAGTATCTGAGGAGTCGTGAGCGGTGCTGAACATTGTGCAACCGTCAGCAAACAATCCTACTTCTGGCCTTTGTCAGGGAGGGGAAGGTCATTAATGAAGCAGCTGAAGATGTTTGGGCCTAGGACACTACCCTGAGGAATTCCTGCAGAAATGTCTTGGAGCTGAGATGACCAACTCCAGACAACCACAACCATCTTCCTATGTGCCAAGTATGACTCCAACCAGTGGAGAGTTTTCCTTCTGATTACCGTTCATTTCAGTTTTGCTAGGGCTCTTTGATGTCATTTTTGATCAAATATGGTTCTTGATGTTTAGGCCTGTCACTCTGGCGCCTCAGCTCCTCATAATTGTTTACACTGTTTCCCCAGCTCTCCTGCCCCTTCCATTGCCAGACATTGATAGTTGACAGCTTAATTTGATTTGGGATATGTTTACCTGACTCGAATAATATTGACTAACTGCACCCAGTAACTTGATGCAATTGGTACTGAACAAAGAAATAATGAAACACTAAACTGACATTTTTTACAGAATAGGCTGTAAGAGCATAGGCTTGGCAGCTATTTAACTGCACCCTGTGCACAAACAAACTGGCAATGAAGTGGAATTAGCTGAACTGAATTTGTACTAATGGATGAGGTGATGGGGGATTATCTGACTGCTACACAGCTACTTGGAAAATTGAGTCACAGTTACATGGCTGAATGTGTGCAGATTTGGCAGATGTGTAGCACCAGCCCAAGTATTTGATTCCCAACAAAATTGAAGTGTTGCTGCATGAGTGGGTGCTGGGATGTCTACCCTGTTTAGCATTCCAGTAGCCCTGCCCCTCCAGAAGATGACATTGCATCACACCTGATTGGACAGAGTGCCCATATTCAGCGCTGTACAGAACTGAAAGTAAATGTGGGTGAAGATCTGGCAACGATGGCTGTCCAACATTACTATGTGCTAGGTAGATGGTCCAAGATATCGTGATGCAAAGTATTGTCTCCCAAACTGTTCCACAGGTACAGCTCACGTATGCTAATATCTTCACACAACCAGAGAATTCTTTCATTATATCTCTCACATTCCTATTTTTTGGAATGGCTTCTAGCCACAACATTAAAAGAGAGACTGTATCTTCCAAAGATATTAGTAATTGAGCTGTAATGGCATGGAGCTAGTGACTGGCTGACACCTATGGTGAAATTCAGACATCATATGACTGTCAATGAACTGCTGTACTATGGGAAATACACCAGTGAAGTAATCTTTTGTTATAACCAGTGAGAATAGAGATAAATATGTTGACCTGCTGGCTGGTATAGCTGTCACCTCTTGCTAAGTATGTAAAAAGTACATTGTGATTTTACAGAATGGCCTTTAATGAAATACAGACAACCAAACATTGCAATTAATTTTGGTCATACGATACTGTGATGTCTATGTCTAGTATATGCTTATAAAATTGCAGTTGTGGCTCCAACCAATAGTTGGTGCTGTAGAGCAAGTTGAAGAAAATAAAAGTTAACTGAGACAGGTATAATGAGTCAACACACTGCACCAAGGAAATGAGTGTGGTACTAAATAAAAACCCAAAGAACTGCAGGTACTGTAAATCAGAAACAAAAGACACAGAAATGGCTGGAAAAGCTCAGCAGGTCTGGCAGCATCTGTGGAGAGAAATCAGAGTTAACGTTTTGGGTCTTGTGACCCTTCCTCAGAACTGTTCTGAGGAAGGTCACTGGATCTGAAACATTAACTCTGATTTCTCTCCATGGATGCTGCCAGACCTGCTGAGCTTTTCCAGCAATTTCTTTTTTTTTGTTTCTGAAATAGGAGTGTGGTTTGGTTACCAAAGTACCTCATTTAGTAAGACTTCAAACTCCACTGAGTTATGAGGAAGGAAGAAGCCAAGCAGCATGAATCAATGGGCAGCAAAAAACAAGGTCTATCTCTGCTGCCCCACAAAACCGCAGCAATTGAAGTGCTGCTCCAATGGTAAGAATCGCATTGTAGGTTGAGATACTGCAGTTGGGACAGAATGGCAGCACCAACAAACAGAGTAAATCACTTCAGTTGGAAATGACAATTTGCTTGCACTTCCATTTATTACACTAAATTTACTGCATATTTTGTGGTCTTGCCTGCATTGGGGAGATATGACACAGACTGGGCAACCAGGCTTCTGGTCACCTATCATTTTGATTTTCTGCCTCGTTCCACTCTGACCTTTGTTGTTTAGCCTGCTACATTGTTTCAACAGGGCCGAATGCAAACTTGAGGAACAGCACCTCCTCTTTCAGCTAGCCATTTTAGTCTTCTGAGATCAACATTGAGTAAAGTAATTTTGGATTCTATAACAGCTCCCACTTTTTTTTGTTGATTTGTCATTTTGTTTTTGTCCCATTTGTTTTACTGCTGGGTTAGTTTTACTCTCATTTGCCCTTTTTTACCTTTCAGATGGCTCTATTTTGAAATCTCGCATTTGCATTTCCTCTTGGCACAATTTTTGTTTCTTTCCTGGATGCATTAGCATGCCCTTTGGCCTTTACATCAGAAACATTTTGCCAGTTAATCCCTCATGCCCTCCAGCCTATCACAGATCTTGCACCTTCTTCCTATCCACAGCACGCTACCAAACACCAACTATACTTTTGCTTGCTCAAAGCCTATTATGTTTCTAAGTTTTTTTTTCTCAATTCTAATTAAAAACCAACATTAACTCAGTTTCTTTTTCCACAGACGCTGCTAGACCTGATGAGCGTTTCTGATGTTTTGTTGTTGTAGCAAGTTTCATACTTTTGTTTTTTCTGATTAGAGAGGTTCCATGGATCTAGAAATAAAGATAAAAGATTTTTAAAAACTTAGAATGCTGAAATACAGAAATTGAGCACTGCTGTGTTTTGATTCATATCAGTACTTAGTGTATCCTGCTTTCGTTGTTTATTGAGTACCACTGGTATGGAGTCCAACTCAGGAGGAATGTAGATGTGCGACTTTGCTTAACAAATGAGTGTTTGTTTGTGTAGGACCATGACCATGAGGCATAGGAGCAGAATTAGGGCATTCAGCCCATCAAATTTGCTCTGCCACTCAATCAAGACTGATATGTTTCTCATCCCCATTCTCCTGCCTTCTCCCTAGACCCCTGGATCCCCTCATCCCCTTACCAACCAAGAGCCTATCTACCTCTATCTTAAATAGACTCAGTGACTTGGCCTCCACAGCCTTCTGTGGCAGTGAGTTACACAGATTAACCACCTTCTGGCTGAAGAAATTCCTCCTCATCTCCATTCTAAAGGGTAGTCCCTTCACTCTGAGGCTGCATCCTTGGGTCCTATTCTCTCCTACTAGTGGAAACCTCTTCTTAATGTCTACTTTATCCACGCCTCTCAGTGTTCTGTAAGTTTCAATCAGATCCCCCCCTCATCCTTCTAAACCCAATCCAGTATACAGATCCAGAGTCCTCAACTACTTTATACATGACAAGCCCTTCATCCCCAGGATCATTCTTGTAAACCTCCACTGCACCCCTTCCTCCAACACCAGCACATCCTTTCTTAGATATGGGGCCCAAGACTGCTCACAATATTCGAAATGCAATCTGTCCACAGCCTTCGTACAGCTTCAGCTGTACATTTTCGCTCTTGTATTGTAGCCTTTTTGAAATGAATGCTAAAGTTGTGGTTGCCTTTCTAACTGCCAACTGCACCTACATGTTAACCTTAAGAGAATCCTGAACCAGGACTGCCAAGTTTCTTTTATCCTTCATAATTCCAAACCCTTTCCCCATTTAGAAAATAGTCTACACCTCTTCTTACCAAAGTGCATTACTTAACACTTTCTCACACTGTATTCCATCTGCCATATCTTTGCCCACTCTCCTAGC